TTGACACATGACATCCATGTGTCCCCTTGCATAGTTTAAGTTCTTAATCAAGTGACACATGGTGGATGGCGTGTCCTCTAGCATGCCCTTCATCATTTTTTCACTCAACACTTGTTTGCCACTAGTCCAACATGCATAAAACCTTACATTCTACATGGCAAATGTCCTAATACTTGTCAAGCACACAATCACCCTTTGCTTTGTTGTGTTTGCCACGTGTCATACTTTATTTTTGAGAAGTGTCTTTTGATAGACCAAAGTAGACACTACACCTTCTCGGTTACTACGAATATTTAACATCGCTCCTTACTTCTATCATGAAAACATATCTATATTATAGTCATCGGTCTCGTCTTTACAAATAATTCATTTATGTATATGAATTGTCCAAAAATAATTTACATTGATTAAATTCAAATATTCCTCAAAATTTAATCCCCAATTATAACCCTTATTTTATAAAAATTCAAGGTTTCTTGTAAAAGGTTTGTTAATTGTCCTTACCATTGTACATAGGCGATGGGTTGATTGTTTGTTTCACTCTTCAGTATAAAATTTCTCACCATAATCAGTCCACTTGGAGCACATGCATATAATCTTCGTAGGCCTCATACTTCTCTTATAACACATAATACACCTTGTCACTCATCTTTTTTCTATCCCAAACTTACATTATTTTAAAATTTTCTCGATCTAAAACATATAGTAACTCACACTATGCCGGCCCATGCACTAGACCATTAATACCATTGCGTAAGGCCCCCATATGGGAACAAAATTTTGGGGCTCAAAATAAACTTGTGTACATTGTTACTAGACTTAATTTTTGAGCTTAATTTGGGAACTTAATGTATTTTGACTATTGAATTAGTAATAGGGACAAAAATGGAATAAGTTCACTAGCAATCGATTAACCACAATTTACTACGTGTCAAAATCAGGTCCCTAGATTAAATACAAGTAATATCATTGAAAAAATTTTAGAATTTCTTACAAGAACATTTGGTGCCCTATATTTCGAGGTGATGATTTTTACGTTGTCCAATGTTTATGGTATATAAAAAATATGTGTTATCACCTCTCCTCGTTATAAATTGTTTAATTTATTGTCTATCAACTAAGAGTTATTAATTATAACTTAATATTTCTTTTAGATTAAATTTGAGGTCACTTCAAATTTAGGATAGATTTTTGCTTAATTATTTTTTAAAGTGCACAATATGACTATAGAATATAGTTCGTAGAAGTATCTCACTATCTAAAACTCATTGTAGCCGCAGTTTTCTTGCTAAAATTTTCTTGTTAAAACATCTCTTTGGATCTCTGCAATATTAAAATAGGCTCCACATATTCCAATGTTATTTAACTCACACAAATTTTAACTTTTACGTTTGTTCTAAAAAAAATTATTTTGCTAGCTAGTCTAAATTTTCATTCTCTTTTATCTTTATATTCAATAGATAATTACCTTAATTACATTTGGTCAAGAATTTGACTTTTATTAACTGAATTTCAATGCATAAAACTCGAATTCAAAAATTCAATTACTATTTTTGAATCTCAAAAAGAAAAAAAAATAAAAAAATAAAATAAACATATATAATTTTTGAAAATTATTTATACTAATATAAAATATATTAATAGGGCTTAATTTAAAAAATTTCGCCTTGGCCCCCACATATGTTGAGTCGCCCCTGCTCACACCAAGAGACTTTTATTTGTAAGGAACATGAGAAGGTCAAGCATTTGAACAAACAAAACATGTGAAAAATATAACAACATTAGAAGTTTGGAATATATATTGTTGTTTTTCAATGAAAATAAAGATGTAATGTGAAATTTATTAGGGTAAAATTCATTCATACCCTAATGAAGTACCTTAAACTCCACCATGTCTTCTATGAAGTTTCATTGAACTTCATTATAGTTAATATATTCATTTTATTGCATTTGAAATTTACATTTATTTACTTGTGTATATATTCATGAAAAAAATATAATAAATTCATTTCATTCACACTCCCTTCATGAGTTTTCATTATTGACAAATGAAAATATTGATGTTAAGTTTTTTTTAGTTTCCATTCACACTTCCTTTCTGTAGTATCTATGTTCTCCTCCCGCTCGTCTTCTTTTTTTTTTTTCATTTTCACCATCTCTTGCAGACACACGCCCCCTACACACAAAGTGTGCACAACGGGGCCACCAAAATCCTAATTCAAATAAGAAACACCACACTATATCTAACCAAAGCTGCCACCACTGTCATTGCCACTACCTCTTACACACACACAACCATATCACTACTGCCATATGGCCACTTTAACCACAAATTTTAGTCGCATGTGTGAGACCCGAGCACACATACTATGATTTTTTATATAATGATGGGAGGTTTTATGTGTAATTTGCCAGCATTAAATTATGGGTTAAAATATAGTCGAAGAAATTGTGGGAAATATGGTACGTTTGCTAATAAATATATCTAAGGTGAATTATTAAATAAGGAAGTGTTTGGGAGTGACTTAATGTGAGTCAGACAATCAATAGTTAATTTTATGAATTAGTGGAACAAAAGGGGGGGGGGGGGGGGCCAAAGGGATTAGGGGAAAAAGGGGGGGGTGGGGGGGGACCCCGGGGGGGGGGGGGTTTTTT